ACCAATCGGCTTGCCCTTTACCGTCAGACCATTTCCATGCACGCACCGCGAATCCTCGCGAATCAGACTCCCAGGCATCTTGCTCTCAGTGCCATCAATGCAGCTGAAGCCTGTGCTCGCCACAATAATGGGGCAGTAGTCCATCATGTCCTCCCGCCTGCCACCAGGCATCTTGTTGTCTTTAGTCATCTTAAAATAACTGTATATCTCGGGAATTTTAGTATGATTCTCAATGACGCACGTTCCCAACGCCTGGCGGTCAGACGTGCACCGTAGTTTTTTGTCAGTGGAATCAGTGCAGAACATGCTGGGGTATGGAGTCTCACCGTTTACAACGCACTTCGTCACCCAAAGAAACTCACACTTGGCGTTCTTCCCCCAGCTCATCGTCTCTGCCTTCGAATAGTCAACACTGTAATACCCCAGGCCCTCGAACGCTGCAAGTGTCAGTCCAGTGTAGTGGCCAGCGCCCACAAGTCCAGCCATCAGCTCGTCCTTCGCGTGGCGCCGCTTCCAGTGGGAACTCAAACCGAATTTCTCCAAACCAGCAATAGGCTCCTCTTTCTCCACAGACTTTCTTCCTTTTTTCTCCCGAGTTGCCGGCAACAACACCATCTCGTCCTCCAGCTCCATACCCTCAGAACTTTTGCATCCATAATGGAGTTCCATCTGCTTCTTCACACTCTTCTTTGAAGCAAGATAGACATACCTCCCACGGAACGGTCTGGAAGATTCCTTCACCGACCCTCTGGCATTCAAGACTGCAACACTGAACCCAAGGGTGTGCGCAATCTCGTGGGCGGCGACGCGGACGGCCTGCGACGTGCGTGCAATATGGCGCGGGCTGTAGTTGATCATGCCAATTAGCGGCCGCCCATCGGTGTGCACCGCGCACATCGTTGCCCACGCAAAGGTACCATCAACAATCGGCGCAGCAGTGGCGTACAGCACCATGTCAGCATCCTTAACACCTTTCGTCTTGTGCTCTTCAGGGATTTCGAGCCGGCCACAAATAGTGTTATCACTGTAATTCGGCATAACGATGGATTTATCCAACGGCTTAACGTTCAAGCGATCCGCGTGCAGCTTCACAGCCTCGGGAATGATCGTGTGATTCAAAATATCCCACTTCTCTTGACTCATGATATCCTCCTTGGTGCAGCTCACGCCTTTCCCCAGCACGTTCAAATACGTATCCCCTACATTCTTGCATCCGGGTCTCTTTACTGAATCCAGCAAGAAAACCTTGATACGGATGGGCATGTAAGTGGAAGTGACTGACGATGAAGTAGTTTGTTGCTCAAGAACCTCGGCTGTTTCCCTCACAGTAGTGCCATGCGCTTCCGCTGCTTCAGCCATTATTCCCATTGACTGCGGCGGTTGCTGCGTTATATCCACAACATCTGGATTATCGGCGGGACGATTAACGTGATCGTAGATGCAGCGGTGGTGCTCCGTCACTGCGAGTGTGCTGCCGGCGCAGTGCACAAGGAGCAGCAGCG